GCACTCAGCGAATTGCGGCGCAAAATGCCACCGCGACGAGGCAGTCAATTTCACTGTGAGTGGGTGATATTTGCGTGTGACTACGCACACACAGAGCTGTGGGGATCCGAATGTCAAGTGCAATACGAGAAGAAGAGAGACACCTCGTCGCAGTTGTTGTGTGTGCCGTGCAATTTGCACGGTTTGCCTAGGGAGATCTAATTTGCCCTCGTTGTTTGTGTATAGGTGGGTGCCGCGTGCCGTGTGTGTCGGTGGCCCTCTCTCTCTCTTGTTTTCATTGCGGCTGCGTGGAGTCGTGTCTCTGTCTTTTTTTTTTTTAAATAATTTCATTCTCCCTTTTGACTGCTGGCTGAGTATTGTGCTGCAGTTCAACTCAAGTTAACCACTACGAAGGAAAACATGTCTGAGAGACGCGAGGAAGAATTTCACGCCGCCGAGGAGCCCCCGCGCAGCGCCGAAGGGTGGAAGGAGCGCCGCAGCGGCCAAGGTGGACGCTTGCAAGCTCTATCGAGGATGCCCGTAATGTGCGGGTTGGTCAAATCAATATAATTTTGCTGAACGACTTCCTTCGGCAGTACATTGGCCCCAACAGAGCGGTGGGTGAAGACCAAAATGTGGTGATGGAGGTGTTTGTGTGCAGGAAGGTGGTGTGTGTGTGTGTGGAACGTCATTAAGCGAAGCACGACAACTGGCCTTCTCCTGATATTTGTACTGATATAAAGCGGTCGTACGTTTGTGGTTGGAACGGCGGGCATTGTCAAGTCGCTGGCGATGGGGTTCTTTGTGCTGCACGAGCCCCTGCACTACGACGCCGTGAGGGTCCCGGTGGTGGCCTATTTTTTAGAAGGGTCAGTGTGACTTTTCCACAAAGCGGGAGAAATGACAGGGATCGTAGTGGAATACGGATGCACTAGTGAAGGTTTGTGGGCCATCAAAGAGTTAGAAAGGGCTAACGTAGGGGGTTACTATATTTTTAATGTGACTAAGGACCATCGAGTTGTGGCGGGGCTGCCTTGTCGACAGTGGGGCGGAGTTGTGTTGACTATGCCTGACGCACGTAACTATGAGGGGTGAGAGAAACAACGTAATGCGTTTAACATTTTTGTGAACGACTACGATGCACGAGAGATGAAGGCATTCTTTGCATGGCAGCAGCGTGATTTGCTGCGTGGCTTGCAGGGAATCGGTGAGGGTAGAGCAGAGCTTGAGGGGAGGTGGCAGAGAATGAAGGACCGTATTTGTGTGGTTGGACCGCTCCCTCGCTACGTTTTTGACGAGAACAATTACTCAGGGCGCCGTATCGCAATTAAAACTGCGCTGTCCAACACGTCTGACATATGCTGGGAGCACTGCGCAAGGCTTTTGTTTGGCAAGGCTGAGTGGGGCGAGGATGGGACCGCGGACAAGCTGATCAAGGTGGTGCGTGTGTTGAGGAGGAGCGCGTGGTGAGGGATGCGTCGGTGGTAGTGGGGCCCAATGCGGGGAGTGGAGGGGACGCAGAAGGTTGCAGGAATTTTCCCGTTTCAGTTGAGGTCAAAAAGAACATTGCGGAGGCGGGTGCTAATGAAGAACTTTAGGATGTCCCGCCTGCTGTCCGCTTTGGGAACGTGGAGTCAGTCTGCAGCTGATGATATTGAGCGCTTGGGCTGCGTGGTCTTTCTGAGCAGCGCCGTCGCTCAAGCGGTTGCTCGCCAGATGAAGCACCTTCCCCGCAACGAGGGAGTAACGCGGGCCAGCGTGTTGGCGGACGGGCATGCGGTGGGCCGCTTTCCAAGGCCCCGCTGCGTGGTCGGATGCATGGCAGGTGGAGATAATAGAAGGGTAATAATCCAGACTGAAGTTCAAGCTGGCGTTCTGTATATGCCCAACAAGTGATTTTTCCCCGTGCTGGACGCGTTCTACGTGGTCGGGGTGCAGCTAACAGAAACTGCCAAGAAAAAAATAAATAAATCTGGGCGGTCCCGAAATGCTGGCGCCGGTGGGCACAGCGGTGCGGAAAGGGAAGTGATGTTCATCGAGCTGCAGGTGACAAAACACAACACCCACCACACCACTGCCGGTAAGGTGGCTGCGTTTCTGAATTACATGACATGCAACTTCAAGGGCTGGGAGGCGCTGAGGGAAAAGATGAAGTGGGAGATCATTTACATTCAGCACGCTGAGAGCACGCCAATGACGGGAAGGCGGGATTGCCATATCACGGAGGGAGAAAAGGAGGTGCCGAGACTTCATGTTGCCAGCGACTTTTGGGAGAGAAGGGTGGAACAGTACCAGGTGCAGCTTGACGCGGAGCTGGCTTTCCAGCTGGTTGTTGCTGCCAGCAAAGGCCGCTCAGGATAAGTGACGGGAACGTTGGGTGTGGCTGGGAATCCGCCCTGCTCGTGTGTTACATGATGCTGTATGGGTTTGTGTCGTTTCAAGACATTGTTTCAGTGCGTTTCTTTCTTGGTGGGGAAGGAAGGGCGGTGGCATGGCTGGGAGTGGGGGAGAGGCGAGTTGTATTATTATTGTGGTTGGTGTAGTGTGTGGAGTGGCGGCTTCCTCGTGTGTATTGCAGCGGGGGTGGTGTGCTTTGCTGAGAGAAGGCGGTGGGGGGAGTGTGCCACCCGCTAAGGCTGAGCAGACGACAGATGGTTTTGTGTGGCTCCTCTGCTTGTTTTGCGGATGACTTGATTTTTAGCTTTCAGCGATGCCGCGTTGGGGAGCAGCGCGAGTTTTTTTTATTTTGAGTTCTTCCACGCCACACACACCCACTGCAACTGATGGTAATAATGACACCCTCCAATGCAGAAGGGAGTCGGGTGGTTGTGGGGCCCACCGAGCCAAACTGCGATCCCCCATTGTGTAACCTTCGCTTTTTAGGAGTGGGAGCCATATGGCCTCATCCGGAGGCATATTTTATTTTATAATTTTTTATTTTTTTTGCTTTCATGACATTTTCCGTGAGTCTTTTTGGTCGGTTCCTTGCGGCGGTGGGTGCGGTGGGGTCGATTGCCTTTTCGGATGCTGGGAATTATTCTTTTCGTTGGGATTGGGCACGCAGCCGTGGTGCGGCGAGGGCGCATTTTACGGAGTGGTGAAGACGGCCCCCCGGTGGGAGAGGGGAGGTGTGGCGGCGAGGTGTGTTTCTCGGCGCACCGATCGGTGAGAAACTGGCAGATGAAATAAAATAACATCTGGCAACGAACATGGGGGGGAGGGAGGGAGTATGTGTGTATATAATATATACACGTATTGTTGGAGCTTCCGGATTTCCGTTTGTCAAAGGAACTGGCGACACGGCCTGTGGTCGCAATCATACGGGCAGGATCTTTCTGTCGGCAAGGCACTGCCCCAACACAAGCGGCTGTCTGCAGCAGACTGGCACCGGCGACGGTTGTGTGCGCTGGACGCAAGACCGTAAATGGGGCACCCCACCGAGTCCGCTGTATTGCTGCAGCGGGAATAGTACCCCTGCGCATGTGGGTTGGAGGTACGGGGTGCTGGCGGTGTTGACGGTGGAGGGCGGTTGGGCCGCAGGCTGCTGCGGCAGCGCCGGCACAATGAGGCAGTTCAGTGAGTGCACGGCGAGGTGTATGTGATAAAATGGGGAAACTTTCGTTGACGAGTTGTCGAGAGGGAAATTATTGACGTGCGGCACGCTGCGAGTGCGCCAATCAACACACGTGGCGGGTGTGTGACACCGTCGCGCCCCGAGTTGCTGCTCAGCGTAAAGAGGAGGAGAAGACGGCTCGTTTTTTTGGGGCCGGAAGGTGCGTCACTGCCGGTTGGCGGCGTATGGAGGCGTACATGCCGTGCGTGGTGGTTGAAGCGGTTTCTTGTTTTTCCCTCAGCCTCTTTGAGGTGCTTCACTTCCACGAGCACCGCGGTGCGGCTGGGAGGCGGGCGA